CAAACAAAGAATACAAATGAAAAGCATAAAGCCATAATACAGGGGACATGATAGAGTTAGCAGGTGACGCAGTTACAATACACAAACGTCAGAAGCAATGTGAGTGTCTTGTAGGCGTGCGCCTGAATAGCACGACCGTCACTCGAAGAGGTCCCTCGGTCTGTTCGCCAGGCACGGCTGAGCCTTGAGTTAAGAAAACAAGGGCAGCCCTAACCAGTTTGGCTCAGTGGATAGAGCGTCGGCCTGCGGACTGAAGGGTCCCAGGTTCGATTCCGGTCAAGGGCATGTACCTTGGTTGCAGGCACATCCCCCGACCGTCACTCGAGGAGGTCCCTCGGTCTGTTCGCCAGGCACGGCTGAGCCTTGAGTCAAGAAAACAAGGGCAGCAGAAACCAAGAGCTGACTTTTTGAAAACTTATTCAAAATGCGGCCACACTGGGGGATCTGAAGCAGATGGGGGCAGGGGAGGGGGTGACAGCTAAAGAATCTAGAGTTTCTTTTTGGGATGATGAACATGTTCCAAAATTGACTGTGGTGATGACTGTACAACCCTAGGAACATACTAAAAACCATCGAGTGATAAACTTTATGGGGAGAATTATACGGTGTGTGAATTACATCTCCAGGAAGCAGGCGCATGCAGGCACACAACCAGAGGAATGGAAGGCAGGGTCCGGGAGCGCGCTCACTTCACTGAATAGCAGGGCCACTCCTCCGAAAACAGAACACTGTTCATGGAAGGCAAACTGCCTTCCACAGCAACTGCTCGGAGAGCCCACGGAGCTTGTAATGCCTTTTGCAGGCATTTCTACTGAAAATGGGTTCAGCGAAATGAGATTTCATGCTCAGGAACAATAGCGTTGGCTGTGGAGGGAATTCAATGCTATAGAGCAGCGGTTCTCAACCTGTGGGTCGCGACCCCTTTGGGGGTCGAACGACCCTTTCGCAGGGGTCGCCTAAGACCATCGGAAAACACATATATAATAACATATTGTTTTTGTGATTCATCACTTTGCTTTAATCATGTTCAATTTGTAACAATGAAAATACATCCTGCATATCAGATATTGACATGACGATTCATAACAGCAGCAAAATTACAGTTATGAAGTAGCAACGACAATAATTTTATGGTTGGGGGTCACCACAACATGAGGAACTGTATTAAAGGGTCGAGGCATTAGGAAGGTTGAGAACCACTGCTATAGAGCAACCATTTACAGCTTAACAATGCTGAGTGGGTGGGGCACTATTGGACTCACCCACAGTCCTTTGAGGTCCTTTGTCTTGGGGGTTTTTTTTGGCTTCCCAACCACAAAGGGCTATTTCTCTCCTATTGTTAAGCTGATGCCCCCATACAGGTCAAGCCGAGAAGGTCTCGCCAGGAGTCCACACACCATGGCCCACCGTGACCCCAGCCCCTGCCTGTTTTTAGAAATGAAATGTTGCTGGAACACAGTTACATCTGTTCTGAAAGCTGCTGCCTATGGCTGCTTTCCGCTACAACAGCAGAGATGAATGGCAGTGACCAAGATCACGGGACCCACAGACTTATTAGTAAAATAATGACACTCTGGCCCTTCACGGAAAAGTCTGCCAACTCCTGCTCCAGGGCACAGGAGCCCACGTCCCTCCTCCCCTCCCCACGCCCACCGCAGTCCTCTGGTCCAGTAGAGCTAAGAATAAGCAAAGGGCCTGGAGGTCGCTGACACCATGGGACTTCCCTCAAGACCACCTGTGCACCTCCGCCATTCAAGGCGGCTCCTCAGTTACCCGAGGATCTTCTAAAATCCAGCTGTTCACGTTGTTCACAATCCTTCCCTCACTCCCAGCCTTGCTATGGTTCGCCGAGAATGGAATACCATTTCGCAGCTCTGTGACTTTGAGCCAGGCCACAGAACTTGCTCGGGCCAGTGACATGTGAGTGGACAGAATGACTGCATGTCGAACCAGAGGCTCTGACTGTGCCTGTGTGGTTGAGCGTGTCCCCTTGAGCTCCTGTCCTCTGACGGGAGAGTGTGGCCCCACACAGCTGCTGCCCCTTTAGCCCAAAGCCTCCAATGAGTGACAAGTGGGACAGACCTGAAGTGAAGGCCAGGCCATCCTCCTCAGGTGACCTACAACCAGGATCAGGGAATAAATGTTGCCACAGTGAATCTGGGGACTGTTTGTTACCCAGCATTTCTACAGCAAACCTGACTGATACACACCCAACTTAAAATCATGTCAGTGAGGCACAATCACTGAGAACTAGAAGAATAGAGCTCACCACCCGGGACTAAAATTACACCACCATCGGGATCGCCAGAGAAGTCTACACAAGACAGACATGGTCACACTCAGCTTTCATCACATGCTCCCTTAGAGACAACCAGGATTAGCTCCAGCAAAAGGCAGGCGAGGGTCGAATAAAATAAAGGTAGATGGATCGAAACAGGAGAAGGGGTTGGGTGGGGAAGGGAGGGTTTCTTTTGTTCCGTCCACACAACTCAAGTTGCCTGGCTTACCTGTCGGGCTCTCTGGACAATCTCTCAGTCCCTTTCAAAAGTGGCAAAGCCAGGACACTGCAGGTATGGGGTCTCAAGGTTAAGGCTGCCATTCCCGTTGCTAGTGCTTCCCGGGCCCACTAGGTGGTGCTGCACCTGCACCTGGGCAGGCCCACTCCCTCCCTCCTGGTCCCGGCAAAGGAAGAGCTGGCGCCAGATTTGCAGGCCCTTCTTCAAACTCAGGCTGGCCCCTCCCCATTTCTACTCACCACAAACCCCCACGTCACTAGGGAGAGACAGAGGCAAAGTGACAATGAGCAGCACTGGCTGGGCTCTCTTTCCTTTTTAATAAAATGTCGGCGCCAAGGTAGAGCTAGGCTGGCACAGACCTGGGAAGCGTTGCCACATTCAAGCAGAACCCCAGGTGAAGACAGGAGGGGTCAGGCCACGCTGGGCGGATGTTCAGCTGGGCCGGTGGGAGCTGGCCTTGCAAACGGGCCTCTCCCCTCCCCGTGTGTGTGGGTGACAGGCTCTCTCACGCTGACACACGTCCTGTGATGACAGAGGGGCTTCATGCCATTCGGGACACACTGGGGTTGAGCCAGAGGCGGGAAGACGAGAAAGGGGTCAGCAGACAGCGAGGGGGAACTCGCAGGTGAGTGCACGGGGAATGAAGCCGAGGGCAGGTCTGACGGCTGAATTCTGTGGGAGGCAAACTGGAGGGGATCAGGGGGTGGGGGTCGTGGTCAGGGAGGGGGCATCTGAAGTTCCGATTTTGAGCATCAACCCATGAACCAGGACGTTGGGGCTTGATTCTGGTCAAGGGCACATGCCCGGGTTGCAGGCTCGATCCTCAGTGGGGTGTGTGTGTGTGTGTGTGTGTGTGTGTGCAGGAGGGAGCCGATCAATGATTTTCTCTCATCATTGATGTTTCTCTTTCTCCCTCTCCCTTCTTCTCTCTGAAATCAATAAAAATTATGTATATATATATATTTTCTTAAAGGATAAAGAAATTATTTCTCTTATTAGGCGGGGGAGGGGAGGCAGAGAGAGAGGAGGGGGCAGGAGAGGAGGGGAGAAAGAAGAGGGGAAATAGGTACGAAGGAGGAGAGAAGAGAAGTGAAAGGAAACAGTGAGGGGAGGAAGAAGACACACTGGCTGCTGGAGGCAGCGTGGCAGAAACTGGGAGTGAAGCTGAGACTAAGTAAGAAAGGTTATTAAGAGGATGGAACGCCCTCCACACCCCACTGCACCAGGCACTCGGCAGGAATGAACACACTGAGGACCCAGGACAGCCCCAGGTCCCCGCTGTCACCCCATGTTAGAGATGCAGAAACAGGTTCTGGGACTGGAAGGTTTGCCCGAGGCCACACCGTAGTGCCACAGCTAGAGTCACGCCCTGACCTCTCTGCCCCAAAGCCAACATTCTAGGCCCCAACTGTGGGGGCCCCAGGACCATGGGAGCTGAACTATGGGGGTAGGGTAGCCGCCCATAAGAGCAAGCCCATGGCGCCTTGAGAAACCGCAGTGGGCCGCCATTCATTCATTTCCTCTTAAACCCACGCATGCCCAATAGGATTTCAACAGAGCCTTTAGAACAGTGATGGCGAACCTATGGCACGCGTGTTAGAGGTGACACGATAACTCATTTTTTGTTGTTGATTTTTCTTTGTTAAATGGCATTTAAATCTATAAAATAAATATCAAAAATGTAAGTCTTTGTTTTACTATGGTTGCAAATATCAAAAAATTTCTATATGTGACACAGCACCAGAGTTAAGTTAGGGGTTTTCAAAATGCTGACACGCAGAGCTCAAAAGGTTCGCCATCACTGCTTTAGAATAAGCACAAAAGAGCAACCTGTATGTTTATGAAAGAGAGGGAGGAGGGAGCTGGCAAAGGACAGAGTTTTACCAGAACTGCTCCTCAATGAAAACCTCAGGCCATCGAGTTTCCTAGAAGCCAAAGCAAAAAAGACACACACACACACACACACACACACACACACACACACGACACGCCTCATCATCTAACGAAAAGCATACATAAGAGAAAAGAGAACAGTTCCAGCACGAACCGCAAGAGTTCATCAGGGAACTTCTGAGACAAGCGCTACAGGGCTGTGAAGGCGTGTTCACCGAGAGGAGCTGCATCCTCGCAGAAGGGTCTGCTGGGCTTCCGACAGCGCTTCAGGCTTTTCTAAGTCTTTTCACGGCAATGGGTCCCTTGCTCCCCCCTATAAACCCACGATTCCCATTAGACCAGCGGTCCTCAACCTGTGGGGTCGCGACCCCTTTGGGGGTTGAACGACCCTTTCACAGGGGTCGCCTAAGACCATCGGAAAACACATATATAATTACAGATTGTTTTTGTGATGAATCACTATGCTTTAATCGTGTTCAATTTGTAACAATGAAAATACATCCTGCATATCAGATATTTACATGACGATTCATAACAGTAGCAAAATTACAGTCATGAAGTAGCAATGAAAATAATGTTATGGTTGGGGGTCACCACAACATGAGGAACTGTATTAAAGGGTCGCGGCATTGGGAAGGTTGAGAACCACTGCATTAGGCGAGCAGAGAAGCGAATTGTGCCTCCCCAGCAGGTGCAGCAGCTGGCCAGCCTGTGCTCGAGGCCACACCCCGCGGCCTCGGCCCCACCACGCCCAGTGCAAGCTGCAGCATCTCACAATGGTGAGCCAGCCTCTGAGGAAGAGGATGAAGAGGACGGCAACGGACCCCATGGGCAGGGAAGGCGGAAGGAGAGAAGAGTCACCGGTGAGCAAAGGTGAGCACATTTCTGAGACACGGGTGGGGAGTGTTGATGGAAGACAGAACAGAACGCGCCTGGGCCCAGAACATGGAGGCGGGCCCTGGGCCCAGGCTCAGAGACTAGAAAGACAGCCGATGGGGAAGGGCCGGGAAGCAGGGGAGTGTGGGGAGGAGGGAGACTGAAGGGCAACGTTAAATCTCCGCCCGCTGCCAGCCCTCCCCACCCCCTCCCCCCACAACCCAGCAGCAGGAATCCCAGGATTTCCCTGCAGGCCACCCAGATGGATGATGACAAAGAGGCAGGCAGAGAGATGACAGGTAGGAAGGTAGACAGACAGATAGACTGATGATAGACTGATGAGAGAGACAGACAATAGTGACAAAGAAAACTGATAAGTGAGCACTTACTACATGCCCACAGCATGCTGAGGACTCTGCAAGTAGGAACTCATGTAATCTTCGCAGCCATCCAGTGAGGCACCATTAAGAGCCCGCTCTATAGTTGGTAACTGAAGTATAAATAGTAATCATCTTATTTAGGGTTACGGAGGTAAGTAGTCCATGAACTAAAAATAGAAACGATTAAGAGGCATTTATCTCAAGTCATAGCAAAAAAAAAATTCCTCGAGGAAACACCATAAGATGCTCAACGTCCATACCCTGGGAGAAGTACCAACCAGAGACCAGATGCGAGGCTGTTTTCTGCATCTCGGCCGGCAAAGAGCAAGACGTTTGCTAATGCCCAGGGAGCCTGGGGTGTGGGCCCAGACGCTCTCCCACATTTTCTGAACAAAACAAAAAGTACAACTTCTCTGGCAACATCCATCGCCACTCAAGTCCTGACGCGAGGAATTCGCACAGTGCGCTCATCACATATTTGCTCAACTGTGTGGGAACAGACATCCCCTGCAGCCCTCTGTTTTTGCAAACTGCCAGTCAGTATTCCACGGTATGCGTATTCCACATTTCGTTTAGCAACTCCTCAATTGATGGGCACCTGGGCTGCTTCTACCTTTTGGCAATTCTTGGGAATTAGTCTGCTTGGAACACTTGCGTATAAGGTTTGGTGTGAACCTATGTTTTCATTTCTTGCATCTATAAAAAGTAGAATTGGTAGGTCACACAGTAACTATGTGTAACCTTTGCGGAATTGCCAGACTGTTTTCCACAAAGGCGAGTGTTGTTTTAAAAGCTGCCAAATTTGGGGGAAATTTGTTGCACAGCCATAGATGACTAAGATAAGAGAATTAAACAAAGTGAGACATAAAAGGCACTTAGGACAATATCTAGTAAGTGCTCTATCAATGTCAGCTCTTATCATCATGGTAGTATCTCTCTACCACAGGGCCTTTGCTCATGCTGCTTCCACTGCTTCGAATGCTCTTTCCCTCCCTCCCTACCCCACTAACTCTTACATGTCCTTCGGACTTCTGCTTAAATGCTGCTTTTCCAGAGAAGCCTCCTCAGAAATGCCAATTCAGAAATCCGCTTTACACAATCTCTTAGCACCCTGCACTTCTCCTATGAATATCAGAGTCATGGTTAAATAGAAATTTGTGTAACTATTTTTAAGACAGTTCCCTCTTCTGACAAAGAAAAGAACCTCAAGCTGGCACAACGCCCTACCCTCTGTACACACAACAGAAATGCAATTCTACCTCTTAAAGGCCAACAACCCACTAGAAAAATGAGCAAGGACAAAAACAGGCTGTTGGCAGAAAATGAAACACAACAGAATGGAGGCACAGGCGCCTTCATCGTGTAAAAGTAGGAAATAAGATGAAATACCATTTCTCGTGACTATCTGACTAACCAAGAGGAAAAGGATCGATAATACCCAGATTTGACAAGAAATTGCCGGAAACTGCCATCGCCTCGCGGCAGGGGCTCGGCACTTACCGGGCAGGCTCCCTGGGGGCCGTGTGGTGACGTACGTGCACCAAATCCTAAATGCACATCCACCCCTCTGTCAGCTTACAGACGCGCAGGAGAAGCGAGCCAAGAGATACACGCGCAAGCATGTCCCTTAGAGCAGCGATCCCCAACCTTTTGGACCGCACGGAGCACCGGTGGTCCGCGGACCATCGTTGGCGACCGCCGCCTTAGAGCACTGCCAACAAGCAAACAGCAGTCACTAAAAGCATCCTTCAAGCGGGGACTGCCGGAAACAGTGGCCGCTTCTTGGACCCTGCACGGCCAAGTACAACTAGTTGCCTTTACGGCTGCCACCTTCACAGCAACTGTGCCTGCAGGGGCTGCTCCGTATGCATCCCAATGAGGCCCTGGGCAGGTCCTCGCAATTATAACTGAAACCCAGGCTCCAGCCTCCTCCTTTAGTGTCTCCTTTACATCACAGCGAGGCATTGCACTGGTTCTTGTGAAAGTATGTGCTTAGCGGGGCTCGGTATCTATTAATTTCAGGTTAATAAAGAAGAGGTTACAAAACGTCAGCCTCCATAACCAGGTGAGCCGATTCCTTATAATAAAAGTGTGTGCGCCCTAACCGGTTTGGCTCAGCGGATAGAGCGTCGGCCTGTGGACTCAAGGGTCCCAGGTTCGATTCCGGTCAAGGGCATGTACCTTGCTTGCGGGCACATCCCCTTGGGGAGTGTGCAGGAGGCAGGCTGATCGATGTTTCTAACTCTCTATCCCTCTCCCTTCCTCTCTGTAAAAAATCAACAATAAAATTTTTTTTTAAAAAGTGTGTGTGTGCATGCATGCATGCATGTGTGTGTGTGTGTGTGTGCTGTTGGTTCTGTTTCTCTGGACAACCCTAATAAAGGATTTATGAAATCTGATTCATTCCAGGTCTAATTGCCGCTATAAAGTTTCAGTTCATGACCGTTTCAGCTTGGCGTGCCCACTCGCCAGTGTTCACACGAGAGAGCAGGGTTCAGAGAAGACCGACAGGTCTCTGACTCCGAGTTCCTCACGGGGCCATGAGTCCGAGTCACCAGTGAACCGTGTGGCCAGGGGCCCACCCAGACCCACCTGGGAGGCCTGATCCCAGCAGAGGCGCCCCTGCACCCTCCTCAGTGAATCCCCGGGAAGCCCCGCAGCAGAACTCGGTTGTGTGGGAGGAACAGGGGGGCTAAATAAAGGCCCAGGCCCGTGCCTGGCACCTTGCCCAGCAACGGCCTCTGGACCCTGATCTGGTCACATCGAGAAGAGAGAGAGGCCTTGACACGGCGTGTGTGTGTGTTTCCGGGGTGACCCTCACGCCCGTACTTGCCAATCAAATGAACGTCAATCCATTATGAAACCTGGCGTCTTAAGGAACACCATCGGGAACGCTACCAGTATGTGTGGCTGAGGTCCATGTTCTGAAGCCCTGCAGAGCACTCCTGATTCGTTCTTTAATAAGATTACTCTTCAATGTTCTTATTAGAATGTATTAGTTGTCAGCTTCCCAAAGCGGTTTGAAGGGAGCAAAGGTTAACACCAACACATTAGATACATTCAAGACTTGTTGCAAATCCAGAACAAAAACCAATTAGGAGGAAGATAATGCATCAAACACCTGGAAATGTAGCCCCCCCCTTACCCCCCCCCATCAAATGTCAAGGATCTCACTAATACATTTTCACCAAATGTTCCATTTTATGTCAAAAACCCAGTGTGGCAAAGTCCCACTCACTTACCTCATGAAGAGGAACCGAGGGGAGGCAAAAAGCTGGTAGATGCCAAAATCAGTTAGAACACGTTTAAGAGACGTGTTTTGCGTTTTTGCTAAAGATTATGAGCTCTAGAAACCCACATAATAGGGCCCCACTCCAGCATCACCACTGCAGAAAGGAATCAACTGTTAAGCAGGGGTCATTCCATGGAGAGAAGAAGCCAAAACACACTTCTAAGTTACATCTGTAACATTTCTAAGTTACAAATGTAGAATGAAGTTTTTCCGCCCGAAACTCTAATTCATATCTTCTCCCTCCGTGAAAAAAGGGACATTTCAGCGGTCCACTCTTTCCTGTTTCGATTTAGTCAAGTAAGTAGCAATTAGATGGTAAATTTTCAATGGAAAACACATTAAGAATTTTGTTCTAGACAGGAACTGATGAGCAAGACCTTAAATTTAACTCTTAGAAGAAGTCCATGATATTTTATTTGCGCATGTTGGCAGACAACAAATCCTTGAGTTTGACAGCTTAACGTACGAGAGACAGTGAACAAATCCTAAACAGTGGCCCCGTGAACAAGAGGACGCCCAGGCAGGACTGGCCCCAGAGGCACTCGGAGCCACTGTCCTCAGGTCACAGCTGGTCATTCACACCTGTGCCCACCTCCAGGGCTCCGGGACCCCGACTAGTTCTCCGTGGCCCCCAGAAAAAGCTGGCCTTGAACAGACGCTGGCTGAACAGAATCACAGAAAACACCCGAAGCCATGCGCACACACACGCACATGCGCACACACACACACACACACAGAATCTCCATAAGCTTCTTTCATGCAAGGTCTCGTAGGTCTTGACACCGAAAACTACTACACGGGGACAAGAAGAGCTCACCCCCTCCTAGGGATTCACTGCTCTGCGGCCCAGACAGCCTGGGGGGACGGCATCTAGACAGGACAGAAGCCAGATGGCTCGGCAGCAGACTCTGATCAGCTCTGAGGAGGCGAGGAGGAACATTAGCCCCACCACCATCGGGAGACGAGCCAGAACAGAACTGCTTAGCAAGCTCTCCATCACCGGGGGTGGGTGGGTCAGAGAGCCAGGGCCAAGCACATGTAGTTGTTTTTTGTTTTTTTTTAAAGGTGAGGGTGGAAAATAGGGAAGGAGGGAAGCATAGTCTAATGCTATTCTTCACCTTTTGGAAACTTCCTTGGTGCCCCAGACACCAACCAGGGCTCTAAGAAACCAGGATAAAGACACAGGATTTAGGAAAATCGCGGGGCCCTTGGAGACCCCGTTCAGCCATTGCAAAGACTGTCAAGGGAACGCAGTGGGAGTCCGGCAGGCCTGGTCCCAATTCAGACCTGGTCCCCTGGCCCCGCATCCCTTGTCTCCCAAGCCTGGATGAGAGGACGAGGGTGAGCAGCCACTGAGGTCCCTCTGCTCTGCACGTCCATGATTCAACCTGGCCATTTCCCCGTCACATGCTCGAGGACAACCTGGCCAGCACACAGCAGGAGAGAGACGATGGCCCCTGTGGTCCTTTCTCCTTTCCGGCCACATCACAGCGAAAACAGCGGCCCCACAGGCAAACACACACACACACACACACACACACACACTTACCACCAGAGTCTGTCCACGCGGGCTCGCCCTGGCACAGGCCTGGCCGAGGCCGGGCCCCCACGGGCTGCCTGTCCGGAAACACCAAGGCCATGTGCAGAAAGACACTCTACAGGCGATGCCGAGAGGGAAGGGGCTCTTCTCCGCAGGAGCCCAGCCGGGCAGCCTCGGCACCGCCACTCCCACGCTTCCTCAGCGCTTTCCCAGCCTGCCTGTCGGGGCAAATCCTGAGCCCAGGACCTGCCCCGGACGCACAATGGGTTACGTAACTCCCGGCGGCCCGGGCACCTTATCGGCTCATCTTGTAAAACCGCCCCACACAGAAGATGACGCACCCGAAAATGTGATATCCCCTGGTAGGGGTTAAAAGGGTGATGGGCACTGGGCTTTGCCGAAAAATCAAAGAGGAACAAAAAGTCTCCTGTCCAGCTCAGCGCTCCCTGGGAACAGGGGGCGGAGTGTACTTAGCGGGAGGCCAGATGCCAAGTGGTCTCCCCGGCCAGGCCGTGGCCAAGCCCTCGGCTTCCACCCGTGCGTCCTCGGGGCCGCTCCCTCCCGTGGCTCCTGGAACGTCTTTCGTTTCGTGTCTTTCTCTCAACGAGCATCTACTGAGACTTGAACCCGAGCGTGATCTGCAGGGTCTGGCTGCCGGCGCCTCCAACAGGTAACACTGCCCGTGTCTGCCCTCCTGTTTACCGAGCCGCCGCCAAACGTGACAGCAGAGCTGGCCACAGGTGTCCCGGCGAGGCACACCCGTCCCCACGCCCTGCACGGTTTGAGGTTTCAGCTCTGCGTTCGGCCATGTCTTCGCCCTCGCTTGTCACGTTCAGAGAAAGCGAACCTGCCCAATAGGCTGGGCGTTTCCTGGATTTCACTGGCACAGATGCCGCACGAATCCCAGGGATTCGTTCACATGTTTGGGCAAACGAAGATGCAGCTGGGACACCGCCTCCTCCAGGAAGCCCTCCTGGTCTTCCCCTAACTTTTCCCCTCTGAGGCTTGGCCAGGCACCCTCCTTGGTGTCCTCCCATGTGCCCATGCCCATCACTGTACTAACCACAGTGCACACCCAGTTTCCACTCCAACTAGACTAAACTCCTGGACGACAGAGGACACGTGCCCCAGGGTTGTGACCTGGATGCGTGTCCCACCCCCTCAGAGCTCAGGGATCTTGGGCAGGACGCTGAACCTTTCATGATTTAGTCTTTACCTGTAAAAAGGGGACAACGCCCCCTGCCCACCCCTTCACGGGGATGCAGTAATAATTAAATGACAATTTATCTACCCAACAAATGTCTCCTGAGCACCGGCCACATGCAGGCACTGTTGCAGCAGCACACTGGTCCTTGCCCTGAGGTTAGTTCAGGGTGGGCAAACTTTTTGACTCGAGGGCCACAATGACACATGCAGGCACTGTTGCAGCAGCACACAGGTCCTTGCCCTGAGGTTAGTTTATATTCTATTTACATTCCTCGAGTGCAGCTCGCGGCTAAGTCTGGGGAGAAAGACAAAGTGGAAAGGGAGGTGGGAAGAGGTCGGGGGACCACTTTTTCTGCAGGGTGCTCACATTTCCAGTGAAATGCCATTCGGAGAAAGTGAAGAGGGAATCACGGGGACATGGGGCGGGGGGTAGGGCGACCCAGATGCCGGGCAGCTGCCAGAACAGGGGCCCTGAGGAGGGAGGCTCCTGTGGGTCCGAGGACTAGCGAGGAGGCCAGTGCGCCCGGGGTGGGGCGGGCGCAGAGGAGCCAGGTCACAGGGCCGGGGGCACCTGTCACTGAGACCCTGACAGGCCACAGTCAGAATGCAGCAGACCTGCATGTGTGAAACTGTCATTGGGCTTTATTTCAAACAGGAGGGTGACAGCAAACCCTGCAGACAAAACTGAGGAGCAAAGCAAACTGCAATGCGCATGCGACAGGGTTTAACTTAACTACACTCCTGGCTGCCACTCCACACACCAGCCTACATCACGGCCATCGGGGTCCTCTGGCGCGGGCTCCAAGCACCTCCCTAGGAGCGCTGGCATGAGGTGCCGACCAGCGACACTGCCTGCACGGGGAGGGGTTACCCTGTTCCCGGGACACTGGAAGGCGTGACTGACAGGCACCCGGAAGAACCGGTGGGGGCAAATCTGGCCAGTGTACACAGGGCCCTGCGTGCAGTCCCCATTCCTGCATCTGACAGTGCCACCGTGTCTCCTTCCCATGACACCTACCGTGTGTCTGAGACACCGAGCTGTGGAGAGAGGGGCACCGAGTATCACTGTGGACAAGTCTTTGAAGGGCTGTCTCCATCTCAGACAGGCCGGTTCCCGATGGCCCGTCTCAGAGTCTAGTGGTTCCCTCCCCACCCCCACTCTCCTCTCCCAGTCCCGTGGCCGCCCCCTTCCCAGTCCTCCTCCCTCCCTCCCTGCCTCCTGGCAGGAAAAGGGCCCTACCTGTGATGGTGCAGGCATCCCGGTACCCTCTGTAGCTGGGAGCATCTTCCGCAGCCTCGCTCACATAGTGCTCCTCGGGGAGGCCCGGGCTGCAGGCTAGGACTGCATGCTGGCACGCCTCCGGGGAGGGCACAGGGTTGGCCAAAGTGTCGGCGTGCAGAGCTGTGGCGTCCAGCTTGGCAGGTTTCACGGGGAGGTGCCCACTGCCATCGGGGGTCCCGCTGCCAGAGACTGGCGCCGTCGGGCGGACGGCCCCCGGTGGGTCCGGCACACCAGCGGGGCTTCCTCACGGGGCGTCTACGGACAGTGCAGAGAGGAGCACAGTTACTCAGAGTCTGAAACAATGGGCAAAAACCTCAGGAAATAAGGGCCCCGAGATGATGTGCATTCAGGTTGCAAATTCTGACAACTGCGTCCTGCGAGCTGAGCCGGGGTCCTGCCAACCAAATGCCTCATTTCAGAAACAGGACTGCAGCGAAGTTCCATCCGAATGACCAGGTGTCGATGCAGCGCCTGGTCTCATTCGCTACCTGTCTTGAAACCCGCCTGGAAGAGGCGCTGAGCAAATAAACACACGGCCACAGCTCACAGGATGACACCTCCCCCGGAAGGAAGATGCCCGGGACCCCTGGCAGCCACGCCGAGCGCAGGAAGGGCTGTGCGTGCCCGGTCTGTGGAAGACACGCATCGATCTACCGCGACAGGATGCACAAACGTGTTATTCAAGGACTGACTTATGTGTAACGCCACGCTTCTCTTAAACCCTTTCCACCTCGATACCTGCTCCACGCTCCAGGAACTTTAAGGATGTCCCCACCTTAAGCGACGGCGAGAAACTGGGGGACTCCCTTAAGAATATGATGACAACTCCAGATCTTATTCTGCATGACTTGTGGGTTTTAATTCTCACACGACTTTCTTCTGTCAAAGTAGCATTTTTGTTTTATTATGATTTTTGAAACATAACATTAAAAAGTGCCGTCTTAAGCATCATTAAGGGTACGGCTCGGTAGTGTTAAGTACATTCACACTGTTGTGCAACCAAGCTCCAGAAGGCGTTGCATCTTGCAGAACTGAAACTCGGTCCCCTCTCAACAACTCCCCCTCCTCCCCTCCGCCAGCCCCACACAACCAACCAGCTGACTTTTTTTTTTTTTCTTTAATCCTCACTCAAGGATATTTTTCCATTGCAACCAACCAGCTGACTTCCTTTTTTCTTTAATCCTCACTCAAGGATATTTTTCCATTGATTTTTAGAGAGAGTGGAAGGGAGGAAGAGGGAGGGAGGAGGGGGGAGAGACAGAGAGAGAAACATTGATGGGAAAGAGACACATCGATTGCTTGCCTCCTGCACACACCCCAACCAGGGCCAGGGATCGAGCCTGCAACCGAGGTACGTGCCCTTGACCGGAATCGAACCTGGGACCCTTCAGTCTGTGGGCCGACACTCTATCCACTAAACCAAAACGGCGAGGGCCAGCCTACTTCCTATCTCTATGAATCCACCACTCTCAGCGCCTCATTTGAATGGAATCGTATGGCATCTGTCCTTCTCTGACTGGCTTACTTCACGTGGCAGAAGGTCCTCAGGGTTCCTTCGTCTGGTAGCACGCGTCAGAACGACACTCCTTTTTATGGCTGAGTAATAGTCCACTGTCCTGAGATGCCCCCCTTGAAGTGAAAGGACCAGCCCTCAGCCCCTCCAAATCAAGAAACAACCTAAATGTCCATCGACAGCAATAGTTACCAAGAACAGCATACCCCAACGACCAAATTCTGCAAAATGAGAAAATCCACGGAAGGCACTCACCTCCGTGCCAGGTACATATTAACTCCTCAGAACAACCACTGCCATCGACGTGAGCATGTCCAGATTCTCAGAGTCTGGCCCCTCTCTTGGTTCCAAGGTAATATCCCTATGCCAGCATTTCCCAGCCTCCTTTGCCGGCAAACCTTGCTCCGCAGACACCTAGCCAGTGGCGTTTATTTCCCGGGGTGCACCTTGGGAGAGCCCCTCGGTATCTGACACCCCCCCCACACACACACACACACACACACACACGCCTCCTTCAGCACCTGTGCGCACTCAGCTCTCACAGGTGGTGTATGAGCTCCTGGGAGCATGAGCTGGTCCTGGCACCTGGCAGGCGCCGAGTGAATCTGCAGAATAAGCACCGTGAAGGCAACAAGGGGTTTGGTGCGAAGACGATGAGGCTCTCCCTGAGGCTAGAGAGCCGTCCAGTGCTTTGGGAGCTGTAACTGCTGCCACCTCCCCCTCTCAGCTGGGTACTGTTACAGCTGAGGACAAGAATGCTCAGAGAGGGTTAGTAACTTTCTGAAGGTCACACAGCCAGCAAAAGGGAGAATCCAGGCCTGGATTGAGCCAAGTGATGAAACCCCAATGGGAAAAGGAATCTGGGCACCTGGCCGCCTGGCGTGCTTCCTGCCTCCCTCACTCTCAGCCACGCAGGCATTTCCGAGGCTCCACGCGGGGCTCAGGAACAAAGCAGCCGTGTGCGGCCCGGTGCGCTCTGGCGCCAGCAAACCCTGGCGCTCCAAGCCCATGCTCCTTCCAGGCATGACACAAAGGAGGCTCAAGCAAAGTGAGGGTGGCCCGGGCTGGAGCAATGAAAGCGCCTCTGTTCTACAAGCTGAATTCTGCCGGGGAGCCCGCAGGCAGGAGGGCTGTTTCCTAGCAGAGGAGTGAGAAATTCTGCAACCTGGTCCACGTCCCAACAAAGAGAGGGGCCAGGAAAGCGGTGGGAGAAAGTACACACAGGGGCAGCTCTGCATTCAGCTGAGAATCCTGCCTGGTGTGTGTGGGGGGGGGAGGGGGGTGTCCGGGATCCCGGCCTCACTCTCCCAGCCCCTGGCCAATGACCCCCGGCTGGAGCAATGAAAGCGCCTCTGTTCCACAAGCTGAATTCTGCCGGGAGCCCGAAGGCAGGAGGGGCTGTTTCCTAGCAGAGGAGTGAGAAATTGTGCAACCTGGTCCATGTCCCAGCAAAGAGAGGGGCAGGGAAAGCGGTGGGAGAAAGTACACACAGGGGTAGCTCTGCATTCAGCTGAGAATCCTGCCTGGCACTGGGGGTTTCATGGGGGGGGGGAGGTTGGCTGGGATCCCCGGCCTCACTCTCCCAGCCCCTGGCCAATGACCCCCAGCCCCCGGTGGTCAGAGGGCGGGGCAGGCTGCTCAGGCTGATTCCAGTTCGTTGCCAGGCACCCCAAAATCGGGGAAGGCAGAGCTGTGGGGGGCCTTCTGCGTCAGCCCTTCCCCCATGTCCCGGCTGCTGTTGCATGAACCCTCTCCCACCCACACACAGGCGACCGACTCCCGGCAGGAAGGAGAGCCAAGTGGTACTGCGTAGACAGAGCCGAACACAGATCACCTCCTTCCCACTGGCTACAGAAGGAGCTTCCTCGGGGACCAGCGCAGAGGTCGTGAGGAGTAAACCAGACCCGAGCTCCAGGCTGCAGGCCCCACAGGGGACAAGGGGAAGCCGGAGTGGCCCTCCCTGGCCAGCGAGGTGCCTGAGCTCAAGGGCTCCTTTCTCTGGGCAGAGGCATCCAAGAAACCTACGGGCTGTGACTTACTGCCACAGTTCAGCAATTCTGGACAAACACGTCCCACTACAGCAAAAGTTTCCAAAACACGACATATTGTTCACCCAGATCCTATCAGCCCTCTATTGCTACTGTGACAAATCGCCACACATGTGGCTTGAAATCACACCCACTTGTCAGTTCACAGCCCTATAGGTGAGCAGGCTGTATTCAAGCTTATTCAGAATGTCCACAAACAATCCGTTTGGTTTGCAAACAATCGGTTTCTTGTGGTTGCAGGACTGAGATCTCCCTTGGGTGGGGGTGAAGGGGAGGGGGG